AAAATAATAGAAGTTAAAAAAAAAAAAATTGGTCCATTTATATAAAGAAAGTGATAATTTTAGACATTATCCCTTGTTATTAATTAAAAAGATTTTCTCTATGTGAACTTGTGATCATCGATTGTTTGTTTTTGAGAGAAAAAAAAAAATAACATGATACAAAAACAATATGAAAAAAAAAAACATAAAATCGTAAATTTATATGCCATGTGTTTTTGTTCATCATAGAAGGCAAAAGCCCTTATCAATGTTAATAATGGACTGCAGTAATTTCAATTCAATTCACTACAGCTACCTCATTCATATGAGCACCGCTTGCATCCTTTAAGAGTAGTAGTAATTACACAAAAACGCATTGAGATCAGGTCCCAAATTGGGGTTACTTGCAAACTAGTTAAAAGTCCGTAGGCTGATACTTAAAAAGGCTGGACCCTTGTCTAACCACCAATTTCTCAGTTTTAAAAACAATAATTAGGGGTGTGTGGTTAATGCTCATCAAAGAAAGCCTGCCTGAGTTTGTTAGGTGCAGTGACCTTAGCTTCCATATGGCAAATATTGAGAGTCAAGTATCACATAAAACTTTGAAAAATATAATTTTTATTTATATATGAAATTATCAAAATTTAAATTTTAATTATTAAAGTTAAAAATTTAATATTTTACCGTCAGATTACGTGACTGTCGGTAAAATATATATTTGTTTTGCTGTGAAAAAGGGAAATAATTTTAGTATTGAAAAATTGCTGACATAAGAATCATTGAAGATTGAATAAAGAAGGCGGGATATGGGAATGCAAGGAATGAACTTTGGAAATGTAAACTGTCAACTTTACTCATGTTTGAGTTTGAAGTCAAGGTTTTTTTTTTTTCATCTTTTGAACTATAATTAAGATTCTATCTTTAATTCTAGAGTCGATTTCAGTATTATTTAACTAACAAGTCATTTTTTATGCTTCCTTTTCAATATATATGTTTTATTATGTCCATTTTGTTTATATGGGTTTTCGAACTTCAATCAAATATCAATAGCTTTAAGTTAAGGGGAGACCGTTGGTGGGGTCTTTTGCCTTGCTTTTTTGCTATAGGTACAAGCTGTGAGAAGATGGGGAAAATGGAAATGAGCTACATATAAATAAGAAATCCATGCAAGAAATTAAAGACTGAAAAGAAATGTGTTAGAATTAGAAGAGTTGCATCATTTCTATATAAACAACAAAGTTAAGTTTAGCTTCAATCTTGCATATTATAAATTTTACTTGAATATAATTTCTTTTATTCGATAAATGACGAATTCAAATCTAATTCTTTGAACATGAAATACACTCGTTAATTTCCGAAATTAAATGTTCGAATTCAATACTTCGTCACACTATTAAACAAGGAAATGGTGACAATGTACTAACACTTGAAGAACTCAATTTTACTAACTTTTTGGCTTTCTAACACAAACTTTGATAGGATTTATAGATCTACTTTCACATATCATATAGTAAAATGGGTCATAGGATATGTCCTTACTTTTTTTTTAACAAAATTCATATCAAAAGTAATAAAAAAATAGATTTCGTAAGTTGTATCATTGGATTGTATAAAATATTTTATATAAAAATTATGTATTAAAATTTTTATTAATATAAAAATATATAATATAAAATTTTTATTTTATTAAATTTATCTATAATTTTTATTAAAATTTTAAATTATATTTTTTTAAATAATTTTTTTATATTATTTTATATTATATAACCGTTTCATCTTTTACCGCGCTTCATATTGACAGGTAAGCTTTATTTTTAAACAACAAAAAAAGGTCAAAATAGTAGAGAATAGTCATACAATAGGACAGCCAAAAGGCAAAAGTAGTTTACGCCCTTTTAGCTCTAAACGGCTATATTGTCACCAAAATCATTGCCCGTATTCAAATCCCATAAACCCTATTTACAATTCAGGCCTTCCTGCAAAAGCCTAGTCCTTAGCAATTCAGTCTTTGCAGACAAATCAACTCTTTTATTTTTCACAACTGTTAAATTACTTTCCATCTTTTTTATTTTTCGATTTTATAGTTGCTATTAGGGTGAAAAAATTAAAAATATATAAGATTAATTTAAAATTACAGTATTTAATTTGGCTTGAGTTAGTTATTTTAATCAATTTAAATTAAATTTGAGTATTAAATGTATATATTAAAATTGAATCAAATCTTAAATTAAAAAATAAAAAATTTTTTAAAAAATCACACTTAATTAGATTATATAATTTTATTAACTTTTATATATTTTTAAATTTTTATAAAATAAACTTATTTTATATTTAAATCTATTTAAATATTTTAAAAATTATATTAAAATAAATTTAATAAATTAATAAATTAAATTAAACTAATAAAATTTAAAATTATATTCGATTTAAATTTGATCAAATTTTAAAAATTTATAATTTTATATATTATCCAAAAAATTAAATCGATTTCAATCTAATTTAAATTATTATTACCCTTTTAACTGCCTAATAGCTATCGAGGATTTTGATTAACAGTTATAAATGATAGTTACATTTGCAATTTGCATTACCTATTGGTGGGCTGCTGCTGTCAATCAAATTCTGGTGGTATTTGAGAAGCAAAATTTTTGTGGAGGACCACATTAGATTCCCCTTTGCTTAAATTCTTTTTTTTTTTTTTTTTTGGAAAAATTTACCCTTTTTAACTCACATTTGTGTTTTTCTTCAATTGTATCTTTTGATTTTTACATATATTATTCTAATAACAAAGTTAGGAATTTTTTTTTGTTTTATTTAGGTTTTTTTTCAGACGATTTTAAAAATATATTTAACATATTAATTTGGTGCATTCAAGATTTTACTTTTAAAATATTTTTTACAATAACTGAATATTGATTGATAAAAAAAGAATTTATTTCTTTAGTAACTCGACTAACTTTTGTGAGTATAAATAAAATTAAATAAAAATTGACTTATTTTATACATAATATACTTAATACTTATTGCAGAAAAAAATGAAGTAATGCATAAAAATTATATTCTTGCTTAGCTTTTATTTTTTTGGTATAATTTTGAAGGATGAAAATTCTAATCTAACTCTTTGGCACACGCATTCTTATATTTGTTATTAAATAAAAATTTTAAGGTATTAATTTTATCATTTATTTTATATTTCATTTTATTAAACTCAAATTTTAAGAAATTTAATTAATCATATAAACTAAAATATATAAAATATATAAATATTTTTAAAAATTAAAAGTATTTAAATCAAAAAATTTTGTCACGCAATTAAATCCGAACAAAATTTCTTATTAAGTTATATATTTGTGGTATGGTTAATTGTTAGTTGTTTGTTAAAGTTCTCTAGAATTTTTAGTGGTTCTTGAGTTAAACAAAATTGAATTTTCATGTTGTATGGTATGATTCATTCTTATAACTTATTTTGTTCATTCATTCCAAATTGAGATTAATTTTATTCAATGAGATTTTTTTTAATAACATAATAATTCTAAAAATTTTAGAAGGTTAATTTTATATGCGTATGTTTTTTTTAAAAGGAGTAGAACCCTACAACAAAAGGGATAGCGGAGCCTGGAGTCAAACATTAGTTTTGAGGTCTTCTTAAGGCTTATTTGACCATTAGGCTGAGAAGCTGAAGACACCAACTTTGGTGTCTTATTTATTTTATGTGTGTATTGATTAATTGAAAGTGACTCCAAAAATAAATATAACAAAACCTTTGATTGAACTACAAGTTTCACTATTTGGTTATTTATTTGGACATATTTTAATAATTGCACTAAATTATTTATTTATTTTTTTAATTATATTTGATAATTTATGTATTTATATCATGTAAAATATTAAAATTCATATATTTATATCATATTTTATATAAAAATTATATATCATGATTCGTGTCGATATAAAATATATAATATATTTTTAATTTTATTAAATTTAAATATAATAATTATTAAAATTTTAAATTATATTACTTTTATGTTTTATTTTTATATAATATTCATGTCATTTTTAAAATTATAAAATCTACTTTCAATGACTAAATTGATTGAAAAAGAGAATGAATGAACAAGTGAGTCCCACTCATTAATAACATGGGCTGGATTGGAGCAAACAAAAATTAATTTAACATCTTTTAAAGGTCACAACTCAACCATAACCTAATACATCGGTTTACATTAATTTCACTTTTTTTTTTCATTATTTTCTTTAATAAAGCTTTCTTTTTCACGATGAATTATTAACTTAATAATGTTGGAGTAAAAAAAACATTTTTTCTAATTTAGGTATAACTTATTAATTAAGCACGTGGAACGGCAACAACACAATGGTGCTACGTGTTCAACAAATAAATTTCCTCAATAAAATATTATGGAACTCAACTATTCAAGTTTGGAAAATACTTTTATTTACAATTTTGGAATAATTTAAAAAAATTAATTCTTATAATTTAAATTGTAGCTACTAACATTCCAAATTATTGATAGTTGCTTATATTTTTCCATAGATTCTCTTAAAATCACTAATTAGTAATAGTAAAAAAGATTTTATCAAATTTTATTTTCTTTAAACATTAAAAAAGAAAATAATTATTATTTTCAACTATTAATACCATTTAATAAAATATTACTTTATACGTCACCAAATAAAATAAAAAATGTGAACATCTTTTTTAAGCATAAATAAGAAAAAAATAGAATTATTGAAGTAACACATTAATTAATTTTATGCAAACTCCGCCTAATTGAACTCTAATCACATATTTTTTAATATTTTCTTTTAAAATTTTATATATCAAGAAAAATTCAAATAGACTACTCTAATTTTTTGTTCAAAAAAAAAACCTTTTAGTGACACTTTACCTTTGTCACTAAAAAATGGTAAAAATTTGCTACTGTTTGGAGACAGGGTAAAAGTGTAAGTTCACGTGGATTGACACATGCGTCGGCTTCGTTATTTTATCAATATTTTGAACGTATTCTCAACTCAGAGAGCTGAGAGCGAAAGCTAACAATAGAGGCAGACAAAGACAAATCCATCAAAACAAACGATCCAAAACCAGTTTTTCAAAAAGAGACGTTACCCCAATGGCACGGGCCCATATCTTCTTCTTCTGAAAGTTCAAAAATCAAATCTTTCAACCCCAACCAACAAATGTCTTCTCTTGGTAACCCAAAGGCTTAGCCTTTTTTTTTGTATGTTTTTTCAGAGCTAAGGAAAAGGGTAGTTGGTTAAGTTGGTACCCTTTCCAAAAATGGAGGCTTTGTTGAAGAAGAAAGATGATTGGACTGAGTCTGCGAGTGAGTTGAGTAGTTGTAATAGTGGTGAGTCTAAAGAGGGTAGTAGTAGTAGTAGTTCCAGTAGATCAAGTTCAGGGAATTTGGTTGACAAAGTTAAGGTTAATAAGGCTAGAGTGTCAGGGTCAGGGTCTGCTTCAGCTTCACCTCCTTCTCTTTTGGGTTGGCCTATAAGGAGAGCTATTGCTACTACTACTACTACTCCTGCTACAGTGTCAAAGAATTCAGATGTTGCTGATGGCAATGGAGATGAAGACAAGATTAGTAACGAAGATGACAAGTTTAAAAAACTGAGTTCAAAGATTAATGGTTAGTAATGTTGTTTTTAAGTTTAAATTTTGTATTTTGGCTTTCTGATGTTTGGTTAGGTAGGCAGTGGTAGCTTTCTGTCATTCCATAAATCCCACATGGATTTGTTTTTTGGCCAAAAAAAGTCTAATTCTTTTTTCTTTTTGGAAATTTAAGTAGAGATTGACATGATGAAGGAGAGGTTTGCAAAATTGCTGCTTGGTGAAGACATGTCAGGGTCAGGAAAAGGGGTTTGCACAGCTTTGGCTATTTCAAATGCCATTACCAATCTCTGTGGCATGCTCTCTCTCTCTCTCTCTCTCTTTGAATTTATGGATTTTTAAGGTTCTTGTTCCAATTTAATTAACTTTGTTATTTTGTGAACTTATTAAATTTGTAAATACTATATGTAGCTACTATATTTGGGCAATTGTGGAGATTAGAGCCTATACATGAGGAGAAGAAATCCATGTGGAAAAGAGAGATGGAGTGGCTTATTTGTGTTAGTGACCACATTGTTGAATTGATACCCTCTTGGCAAAATTTTCCAGATGGAAGTAAGCTTGAGGTAATTGTCGTCTTTAAAGTAGTCCAGAATCATTTTTTGTTGCATTAAAAGGAAAAAATGAAGAAAAATTTCAGAATCATGTGAAATTTGAAAAGTAACTTTCTCAATCTGTATAATCCTCCTTGGTTGCTGTCCGCTGAGAAAGCAAGGGAAAAGAAAGTATCTTTTAATCTTTTGAAATTTTCACTGTTTGTAATTTAATGGTAAAGTTTCACTAAATTAAAGGTAAATTCAGCTGTTTTGCTGCTTTTAGCTATGAAACTCAACAATCAGAGTATAATTCCAAAGCAGATGGCACTTGATTTAAAGTTTCTTGTCTTTTAACTGTTTCTTCTATGTTTTCATAGGTCATGACTTGCAGGCCTAGATCAGATATTTTCATCAATCTTCCAGCCCTGCGTAAACTAGATAACATGCTTCTGGTAAGAACTAACAATGGTTGTTTTATGATTCATGGTTGTCTTAATTTTGGGTATAAGTTTTTGTTTACAACTATAAGATGTGCTTTGCTGTGGCAGGATATATTAGATAGTTTCACCAACACAGAGTTTTGGTATGTTGATCAAGGGATTATAGCCCCAGAGGCTGATGGATCTGCCTCCTTTCGGAAAACACTGCTACGCCAGGAGGAGAAGTGGTGGCTACCTGTGCCCCGTGTGCCTACAGGCGGTCTCAGTGATAATTCAGGAAAGCAATTGAACCACACACGTGAGTGCACAAATCAAATATTGAAAGCTGCTATGGCCATCAACAGCATTTCTTTGTCAGAAATGGAAGTTCCAGACTCGTACTTGGACACTCTTCCAAAGGTCAGAAAATTAGACATAATTTTTGTCTTCTGTTCAAAGGTTATGTGACAATATGACATATAGTTTCCCAAAATTTTGTTGCAGAGTGGAAGAGCTTGTCTAGGAGATCTAATTTACAGGTATATTACATCCGATCAATTCTCAGCAGAGTGCCTGCTTGATTTCCTTGATCTATCATCTGAACATGTTGCTCTTGAGATTGCAAACCGTGTTGAAGCCTCAATATATGTGTGGCGTCGAAGATCTCACTCGAAGCCTCCAATCAATCCAAACCAATCTACTACAAAGTCATCATGGGAAATGGTAAAAGACCTAATGGTTGATGGAGACAAGAGAGAATTTCTAGCAGAAAGAGCCGAAAATCTCCTGCTTTGCTTGAAACAGAGGTTCCCTGGTTTGACTCAAACTGCCTTGGATACCAGCAAAATCCAGTGCAACAAGGTTTGAATCCCTTTTCTGAAAATATCTAGTTTTGCCAAAGGCTACTTGATTCTCCCTCCAACTGTTGTTCAATTATAACTTATTTTAAACTTCCAGGATGTCGGAAAGTCCATTCTTGAAAGCTATTCAAGAGTTCTGGAAAGCCTGGCATATAACATTGTGGCACGCATTGATGATTTGTTATATGTCGATGACTTAACGAAGCATTCAGAAAAGTTGGCATCGGTTCCTACAGTTAGTGTAATTGCACACAAAAAGGTTTCAATCCCATATTCTGTGCCTGCCTTGAGCAGTCCCTACAAAACAGCAATCACCACCCCAAGTTTTTCACCTGCACCACTGATCAGCCCTGCAAAGGGAGAGAGAACTCCTTTTCTCAAGGAGAACAACAACAACAACAACGCCAACAACAACAGCAAGCCTCCCCGCCGTGGCTTTGGAGTGAAGAGGGTCTTGACTAATTATCTTGGAGTTGATTCAAAAGCAAAGTTACGTGGCAATCCAACAGATGGTTCATCAATTCTGAACTCAAACAGTACTGAGAACTCAGGGAATCAAAAGGATCAAATTATATCAAAACAATCATCAGCATACCAGAATAGGATCAGAATGCTACAAAATCCTCCGCGATATACTGTCACTTGAGATTTTCTGAGAAGAGGAAAAGAATAAGGTATAACAAATAGAATACTTAATGACAGAAAACTTCTGGTTGTAGCAAAATACTGATGCGTACGAGTTAAATTTTATATTTTTTTGGTTGTGTTCCTGATTCTTGTAGTTCATTTGAAGCAGCTGCTATTTATATCAAAGCAGTCTACTGTTTTTAAGGGTGTTAACTGTGTGTTAATATGAATGTAACTGAGATGACATAAAATATAGCCATGAGATGTTTGTTCACATTTTCTCTACTGCTTATTGTGCATAAATGGTTATCATAAAAGTCAAAAGGAAAACCATAAAAATGGGGGCCATGAGATGTTTGTTCACATTTTCTCTTCTGCTTATTGTGCATAAATGGTTATCATAAAAGTCAAGAAGGAAAACCATAAAAATGGGGGCATTCCGAGAATTGAACTCGGGACCTCTCGCACCCTAAGCGAGAATCATACCACTAGACCAAATGCCCTTGTTACCTGTCCAGAAACAGGAGTAGAAAGAATGTTGTATCCAAGGCAAAACAGGGCTGCACAGGAACATCCAAGGAGAAAGAAGAAGTTAAACTACAATGACTTTTCAAAATGGCATTGCCAGCTTAAACTACTATAATCAAATAATGCATTTGGATTTTGAGAAGTAAAAAATCCAACATAGCATACTTAAATTTCATAACTCTCCAAAAAGAAAGAGGAAGCACTGGTTATGATGGCCTCAACTACATACGTAATTCATGTGGAGAATCAAAAATTGGACTTGCTTTGGTGTAAGAAAATCACAAGCTATTGAAAAAGAGTCAAATCCATACATAAGTTCATATGGATCACTATGTTTTTGAGTAAGTTGAAAACATTACATAATACAACCTAAATTTCACCACCCTTCCTTCCAAATGAGTTCTCAACAATGAACAAGAAAAATACCAAGCATTCATTTACATTTGACATCAAACATAACATTAGACAAAAAAACATTAGATTTGAAAATGCAAGGATCGAATTGCAAACCTAAGAGAATTCGAGTGAATCATTCAAACTAAATTTCATGTTAATCTTACCAATGTTTTTCACCTTTGAGAACAACCAAAAATCTATGAACAACTAAACATCAAACAATTCTATTGTTACATTTTGTCTTATTTAGGGAGTGTTTATAGTTCGATTTAATTTAATTAATTGGTTATCGAATTAATTTTTGTCAGTTAACGAAAAAAATTTAAATAAAATTTAATTTTTAGTTAATTTGATTCGAAAACTAAATTAACTAAATTAATCAAAATTTAAAAAAATTAAAATATAAAATGAATTATTTTATTTCATAAATTTTTAGAATCTTTAACATAATATTTGGTCTTTGAATATTTTATTAGATAATTTTATTTAATTTATTTAAAATATAAGAAATTAAAAGTTTAAAATATAAATTAATTTAAATATATTTATTATTCGGTTAACTAAACCGGCTAAATTAAATTTGATTGAAAATTTTGGTTTGAAATTTAATTTGTATTGATCGAACATTTCTAATTTTGCCTTTAGTTCTTCTGGGTATTGCTCGTTCCTAAATATTATTATATAATTGAGCATCTTTGTTAATCAAATCCATGTATAGTGGTAAGTATTCCCGTCTGTTACGCGGGAGACCGGGTTCGATCCCCGACAATAGCGTTCTTTTTCCCCAAAGCAGAAAGGCTGTTGGCGCAACTTTTACTTTTCTTCTACGCATTTTCTAGGAAAATGAAATAGAAAAAAAAGGCCATGAATTTCACAACCTTAAACGAGCTAACTAAAACGTCCTCAGCATAATAGAAACAGAGAGATATCCGCCGTCTGATCTTCCCTACTGAAACTCCCCTTCGTCCGATCATGACAACCAGCATCCATGTCACCGCCCTGGACAGTGTTGTGAACGTTAACTCCCTCTTCACGCTCGCCGTCTTCATCGGCCTAACGTGGAACCCTTATGATTCCAGCAATACCCTCGTCGACCCAGGTAGCCGATGTTTCCCAAACTCAAAAATCGCAGAAGACTTGATAAAATTCCACGTCTACTCCTTCAGTTCCTTCCTCTTCTCCAGCCTCGTCGCTTTAGCTCTTAAACAAGCAATCAAGATCTCCAAAACCCATGCTTTTAACATCGATATTAGGTTCCGTGGTTCTGAGTTTTTGGAACATGTTGATGTTAATAAGACATTACTTCGGGTCGGGATGTTGGTTTCAGGTGCTGGGTCGGTGGCGGGATGTGTGTTTTTGATGTTGGCTTTGATTAATGTAGTTCAGATAAAGGTTGGGACTTTGGCTTGTGGGAGTGGATATGCGTTTGCAGCGGTTGTTCCTCTTGTTATTTTCGTTCCTCTTGCTCTTTTGATCTATGTTTGTTTCGGGCTTTATGCTTTTACTCGTTAAGGTTTTGGTCTTCTTCTTCTGCTTCTTCTTCTTGGGAACCTTTGTTTTATTGTATGATGTAGTTGGAATTATAGTGGAATGAAGGGATTATGTTGTAACTTGGGTTTGTTGTTGTTGTATGATCTAGGTGGTTTTATAATGAATCAATAAAGAAAAGGTTTAAACTTTGAGAGAATTGAGTTTTCTTGCTTAGATTTTTCTTGATTTGAAGTGTTTTTGGGTTTATTTTGTTGCATGATCCAAGCTAGAATTATAATGGAACATAGCTATAAAGATTGGAACTTTGAGAATTGTTGTTGATGCTTCATTTGGGTTTTTGGTTTCTTCTGGGGATCTTTTTCTTGTACGATAAAGTTGTTTTGATATTGTATTTTATCTTGGGCTTTTGATTTTGTTGTTATTATTGTTGTATAATCTAGCTGAGATTATAGTGAAATCTGGGTGTGATCACATTGAAATTTTAACTTTGTAATTTCAAGGAAAGACATTTGTGTTCTTTCCGTACGACTAAGGAGAGATCATGATGAAAAAGTGGGGTTGATTGTCATAAAGATGTGAAATGAACATATTTGTTAGACTTTTAGTTCGTAGTCTGCTAGATCTGTTTGGGTTTTCGACAGAACTGATGAAGAAATTTTCTTTATTATCTATTTTTAATGGGTTGAGACAGTGCCGGTATCAAGTTGGTGGAGATCAGCTCTAGGTTTCAGAACAGTGAGTAGTGTTTGGCAAATTTCTAGAGTTTGTATTTCACCCACATATGAACTGGGAAACGAGTTGCTTATTGAGGTTACTACAGGCATTGAAGTCTTAGAACATTGTTTTAATGAGTTACAGATGAGAAAGTAGCAGGAATAAAGACCCAAAAACCACAAGCTTATCAGCCCACAAACATGCTATGGAGGCAGAATAGAAGAAGGTAAGGTAGTCAATATACTAGGTTTTTATAAGCTAATGCTGTGTTGTCAGCTTGAAATTATACCTTAGTTGTTTATAGCTGTATCAATGTTGGCTTGCATTTCATGATTCTGGTTTCCATGAATGTTTAAACTGTGGATGGGTTTAATAAGGTCGTTCAGAAGAGATTCCATGGAAACAAGATGTAATTGTTGACCTTTGATGGTCAGGTAACTCTGAATCGATGTTCTGGGATAGTAGGTGCTGCAGCTGATAAAAGACTTTTCTCTAGTTCCACATCCATTGTAATGGTGGAATTCGCATGTATTTGGATATTTTTTAGCTATTTGTTTCAGTATAAATTGTAGAGAAGCATCCTTCTTTCAGCACAAGTCGTTGAAGAAATGGAAGCTCCAATGAAGTACATCTGTATTCTAGCGTTTCTTGTGATAATGACCATTGCAGGGTTCAATGGAGTGGAAGGACATGATGATTATGGTTCATGTGGGAAACATAACATTGAGAAGGAAGCTGAGAAGCTGGCTCCTTGTACAAAGGCAGCCCAAGATGTGAAAGCTCCAGTTTCCAACCGTTGCTGCACTATAATGGAGAAAAAGCTCAAGAATCCAAGCTGCCTCTGTGCTATTATGTTTTCACATACAGCATACAATGCTGGAATCAAGCCGGAAGTTGCTGTGACCATTCCAAAACGCTGCAACATTGCTGTTCGTCCCGTCGGTCACAAGTGTGGAGGTAGAATGCGTATATTACATAATGTGTTCTTGGTTCCACCTTTTCTCCCTTGCTTTTATATAATGCTGCTAGTGTTAGTTCAATTCTCATGAAGCTATTGTTTATTTCTTGCAGCTTACCCTCTCCTTTAAGTGTGAAGGCTCCCATGGTTCGTCGTCCTGTGCTTCCCATGGTTTGTTCTTGTTGCTAGTCAATCTAGTTGATGAGTTTCACTGTGACATCCAACTGTTTGAGTAAAAAATAAAACTGCAGTTGGATCTTTGAATAATAAATGCTAGTTGTTTCCTTTAATAATACTAAATAAAAGGTTAGTTTTCTTTGCAAAATATTTGCATGTTGCTCAATAACCATTTTCTCCAATTTATGCTGTCAATAGGATCAATAATGGAGAGGGTCACTTGAGTTGAACAATCTAACTGATATCATTGATGTTGTTGAACTAATGAGGCTTTTAGGATGTTTCATATTCAAGTGAGCTAAGATAGCATATCCTAAACGATATGAGTGGCAAGTTGCAAGAAGAGAACAGCTGGTGATTCAACAAATAGGGTAGACCAGCTTGGTTCTACCATGAAAGTGAATCATGCAAGTGGTCCATTAAGAATTCACTGTTTTTTTTTTATTCGGGAAAGGGACATTCAAACTTTGCTTATTGAACAGCGATTGATACATCAAGTGATGATTCATCAATCATTGAACTAAATTCTCAGATAATGAAATGATTCGGGTGCAGTTCACTGTCTTTTTACTAGTAAATGGTGGTTAACTACTAGCAATGTTTATCTGGTGTATTTGGAATTTATAAAGCAGGACAACATGCCAACAGACTGATATCCTATGTATTGGTGAGGAGGAAGATTAGGGTAGCTAGCTCTGTGGAAGAAATGATTAAAAAAAAAAAGGAGATGAGGGTTAGCCGATTAGGAAAAGAGAGAATTTAGAATTTTGGATTAACACTGGGAGTAAAAGCAGTATAGCTGTCGACATATACCATTCATTTATTCTCTTTATCTTGTAAGGAACTCTTTCATTAAGCCAATGAACCTCACACGAGTTGTTGCCAGGAGGACTTTACAAGGAACATTGATTATCTGATTCCCCGAGTTTTAATTTGTTCATGCAGTCATTCTTAAGAGGCAGCATCCAGCAAGTCTGGTGTTCAAATTCTAATATTCCCATATTGCGATCTCCTTTGACTGTAGAGAAAGAGAGGGTAATGGATATGTCGGTAGAAGTCGAACTTGTTAGATGCTATGCTGTCAGCTTCTCATGAAAAGGTTCTTTTTGCCCCTTCGGGATAAAGAAGTAGTGGAATTACAGTAATGGCTTTAGCAGGCACTAACCGCCATTGGAGTAGTAGGTGCTGCAATAAAAAAAAACACTTTTCTCTAGTGCTACATCCACTACGATTTGTGGGTTTCATATGCATTATTAAAAACCTTTTTAGTTGATTGGTTTTACTATAAATTTTGAAGTTGAGAAGTGTTTATGCATTGCAATATTGAAGAAATGAAGTGCATCTGCTTTCTGGTGTTTCTTGCTATTTTTGGCATTGCTGAGCTCAATGCAGCAGAAGGAGCTGGTGAATGTGGGAGATCATCCCCTGACAGTGAAGCCTGGAAGTTGGCTCCTTGTGTAATGGCAGCACAAGATTCGAATGCTCAAGTGTCTGACAGTTGCTGCCAACAGGTGAGGAAAATAGGCCAGAATCCAAGATGCCTCTGCGCTGTTATGCTTTCTAACACAGCTAAGAGTTCTGGAATCCAGCCAGAAGTTGCTGTGACCATTCCTAAACGCTGCAACATTGCTGATCGTCCCGTGGGTTACAAATGTGGAGGTATATTTTATTTTCACAGTATTATTTACAGATTCTTTATCCATTTTTCCTCTGCTTTTACAAGATTCACCAAGTTTGACTCTCATTTTCCTTCTTCATTTGCATCTCTTGAAATTGCTTCTTACATTTTGCAGATTACATTCTGCCTTGAGCATGAAGGCACAAGTCATGATTCCTGGTGATGTATTTGAATGATAAGTAAAAGATTGTGTTCGGTAATCTTTCGATAACTTCAAGTAATCTTTCGATAACTTCAAGTATTTTCTTACTGCTCAATGCTCAAAAACCTCTCCTCAATAAATGGAATTCTTGAAACCCTTATCTTGCATGATTCCTATAAAATAAACCAGAATATGGAAACCAGAATTTGAATCCAGTCACTGGAACTATAGATCACACGACTGTTGGCAACATATAACTTCCCTTTGTGATCATTCATTGTTTATAAGATGCTAAAATGCATCCAATCTTGAAAGTGAAATCAATATGAGAGAAGGGTATACTATATATGTCAATATATAGTTATACTAATCCATTTTATTGTGGGAAAAATCCCACAGAGCATAGTTCACAACAAGAAGATTAGATTAGTCAGGCAAAAGAAAAGTAGATAAACGTATAATACATGATTCCGGCATGCTCCGAACTGTCTGCCCTAAATATATCAGCTTACAGTGTCAAAATTCTTCCTCAAAGTCCTAAGCTGTGTTATGCTCTATATGCTTCTACTGTATTGCTAGCTATCTACCAGCTTATTTCCATAGTAATAATACGATTAATTATGCTGCTAGTGTTCCTGCAAAATAGCCCACAAATATAATTTCAATCAGCTTGATCAAAGAAGTATGCAAAGAAACATGGAAGTATGCTAGACTATAAGAAGAAATATTATGCCAAGAACATAAAAGAAAATTGGTTTCTGTGTTTTTTTACTGTTATTATTATTGCTATATTTTTGTTTGGCGATATGCATAAAAGTCAAGCACAAATAAGGTGGGGTGATTTCTTTTCCTTGTCAGTTGAATCCTCTATGAATAAATTTTCAAAGTGGTGAATGTAGAAAAAAATGTAAAACAGAAGGGTGCATATATATACAGATAATGCAAAAAGGAGATCCATCAGACAATTTTTAATATATACCTTAAAGTATTGGGATGGAAAGTTTGCATTATTTTGGATTAAGATGTTAGTAATAAAGTGAGCCTGTACAAACAAAGAATAAATTGATTAAAGATTGTTCAATATTATAATTTTTATGGACAGTGAAGAGTATTTTGTTTATCAACAAAAATCCACAGCTTTCATACCCTGCCACCAATTCCCTCTTGAAGCACCACCAGAATTGTTTCCATTGGGATCATCATCTCTCCCATCCTTCTTGAACTGTCAAAACAAAAGACCAAGAACAAAGAAATCCCTGGCAGTTAGCATGTAGAGAAAGCAAGATGCAGGACCTAACAAAGTGTTTGTTAAGGAATATTGTAATGTGTGTTATAGTTACATAATGGGGAGACTCAGTGGTCTTCTTCCTTGGAGAATAATTTTCTTGGCCTCCATAGTAGATAGATGAGCTGAGATTGCAAGGTTCCACTGTTTCATTATGATAAACGGATGTACTCGTCTTTGTTAGTTGTATCAGTGGTGTGATCTAAAACAAAAATGTGAAGGATTCACATTATATTCTCTCATCCAGCTTTCTCATGTCATCAGTTGCTTGAGAATCCAGCAAAAGCAACTTCATATAGTTTGTTTTTATCAAATTAAAAGAACTCAAGGTTTCCTGCTACTCATCTAAGAACCAGCACAAAAGGCAATGACAAAAGCAACAAGGCATGACAAACCTGGATTTCCATATTTGCCATGATGGGGCAAACCCTGATTATTCCATGACCCCATCATTCCAGAGTGACTGGAGTCCCTCCCTAGCACCTGAAATCAGAAAGAGAACAATTCAGACCATTGCAGCACAATTCCATTTAAAACAACCGGCAAAATCTATAAAAATTAGAACAAAAGAAGGATAATCACAATAAGAGAAGCCATGCATAGTTACAAGTCACCAGGGTCAAGTTCTATTGCACAGTCTAATCCAAAAGCACACATTCTAGCAACTATTGGAATATACAAATCAGCCTACATTTTCTTTCTTCTCCTTCACTTCCAATATCCCTTCTCTTTCATCAATGACGCAAATCACTTAGAAAAGTTAAAATATTCAAAAGAAAAATGAGTATACTCCACTAGCTAGTATATCTACCCACCAAGTGAATCATAAAAAAAGGTTACAACAAGCACTTGATGAACAGACTTTAGTGTATTATATATAAGCTTCTCTCTGCATCTTTTCAAGAATCATTCACTTAAAAATATAAATCACATCAACTTTTGATCATCATTCAAAGCCAATTCCAGGAAGTTGGAACAAGAAATGTACAAACTAATTAAACAATAAACTATCTTTATACTATACATCAACTTCTTAACTTCCAATCTAGAATTACCTCTCAGTACCAAAATTTCATATATTTTCAAGTACATAGTTGCCTAAAGAGTAAACGGTATTTTCTTTTTTTCATGTTAAACCATAAAAAATCAACAAAGTTGTATCATTTATGAATACAAATTGATGAGCAAAAAGTCTAAAAACCAGGTTTTTCTTTTTTTTTTTTTTTACCGTTGGTGGAGGAGGGAAAATGGTGTCAAAAATCCCACTTTTGGATGAAGAAGAAGAAGAAGAGTCCTTGGGACCAAAGAGATGATCCAAAGAAACAGATGATGATGATGAAGAAGAAGAAGAAGAAGAAGAACCACTCACTTGCCTTTTGTTTTCCATACCAGAAAAAAGTAAAACTTTTTTTTGTTTTGTTTTTCTTAAAAGCTTTCTTTGTCAACCAACGAACAAAACTACTTTGATAGATCTTAACAGAAACGACCCTAAAAAAAAACAAACAAAAAGGAGGCTTGCAGTGGATAAAAAAACAAACAGATAGACTAAAGAAGGCAGATAGAGCAGCAATGGAAAGCAAAGCAAAACAGAACGAGAAAGCTATAGGCAGAGAGAGCACGTGAAGAACGTTGATTTGAGGAGATATCGTTTGTTGGCAATCTGTCTAAGCTATTTATAAGCACAAGAAAGAGTTGAAAGTCTTCAGGAGGCAAGGAAAAACCAAGGCTAAAAACCCATGTGAAGCTATTCCTTTCGTGTCTGTTTTTTGGCACAAGGATGCACCAGTCAACACCCAAGTGGATATTTCTTTTGCCTCAAATCCAACCTTTGCTTGCCATGTGTTTCCTGGCGTATTTCTTTGACTTTTGGTGTTTTGGATTGTTGGGATTCTGATAGAGAATAAAGAAAAAGAGACAAAGAAAAATTTTTTAAAGGTTTTTCTATGTTATATATATATATATATATATAGAAAATATTGCTCTAGTTGAGTTTTTGAATATCAAAACATCTCCATTACTCGATTTAATATTTTCTCTTTTTTATAATATTTAAAGTTATAAAAAATTGAATCTTATTAAAACCCTAACATTTTTATCTATAAATCACAATTGTTTGACAATTTACTTTTTCATTTAATTTAATTTTTTATTTAAAATTAATAAAGTACAAAAAATAAGAGAAAATGGTATATTTGCTTTTGTTCTTTAGTAAAATCAAGTCACCTATTTAAATCTATTAATTTAACATGGATCTCATTTATAATATTACTTTGTTATACAATTTTATAAAAAAAAATTAAATTTAATTTTTGTTAAAAAATATATTGAAAGTTACATATATTTTTATTTTTTTGTACATGAAAGGTTGTAACTTAAAAATAAAAAAATAAGTAGTAGATATTAAAATTCGAACTCAAAATTTACTAAATGTTATTTTTAAAAATAATTGAACTGATTAAATTAAATTTTGAATTACGTGAAATCTTAACAGTTAATTCAATGTGATAAAATGGATAAGGTTGGTTGGGCTCAAGTTGATGTTATGAAATAAGAAAAGATTTATAAGATGTTTTTTAAGTGAAATTTATGAAATTTTCTATTAAAAATGATTAAACAAAATTTTAAATTGAAAATTAAAATCAATAGATCAAATAAATATAGATCAAAATTTAATTATAAATAATATTTTTAATAATTTATATATATATTATTAATCTTTACATTGAACTTTATTAATTAATTATTTAAATTATTTAAAAAAAATTTTATCTTATAAAATATGCCTTTGTTACTCTTTTGAACATTTTTTTTTTCAGCTCATCAGAATCACTGAAGATACCTGATGCCATGCAATGAAGATATTACAGCAATCTAACTATTATCTTCTCAACAAGTCTTTCAAAGAAATAAAGACCGAATATATATCCAGCAGAATCATTGAAGATACTTTATGCCATGCGATGAAGATATCACAGCAATCTATCCATCTTCTCCACAAATCTTCGGAGAATTAAGGACCGAATATATGTAGAACCATTGAGAAGGTGCTGGATTTTGATTTCTTTCAACTTGGACATGTATAATTAGATCTGATCATTCATGTATTTGTGTCATATATAATATTGAAATTCATATATTCATATTGTATTTTACACGAAAATTACATGTCACAATTCGTATCAACATAAAAATATATAATATATTTTTTTAGCTTTATTAAATCCATATATGATTATTGCTAAAATTTTAAATTGTATCACTTTCGTATCTTATTTTATGTTGTATTTGTGTCGTATTGTTATATCATATTTTAAATTATGAGGTTTGTGTATAATATCAAATGATTTTAAAATACAAAAAGTTAATTAATTCATATTAAAATTAGTATATTGACTCAAATATTATTATATAATACATCTGTTGAATTTTTTTAAAAAATTTTATAAACACATTTAAAAGATTGGCATTTGTTCTTTAAGTTAGGTTAAATTAAGATAAATGTGGAAGTTTGTGATATCAAATAGTAAATTAGATTTATTAATTAAATTATTGTATAGTTAGTTTTCAATGCTTTAATAATTAGCATAACTATTTTCAAGTCAGACAATTATTAACTAAAAAAGGAAAAAATTCCATAGGCTTGTAATTTACTTTAATAATACCAAAAACATAAAACATTATGACAATTATAGAGAGATTGTGATTAGATAATGACATTAATTAAGCAGGGAATAGCAATGATTAGTTGCCACAATATTTTCTCCTTTAGTTAATCTCATCAACCTAACTAACTAAGAAATGGGTGGATTCATAAATTTCTAATTGGAGGAATGAAGATAATCTTTATCAATAAAAATCCAAATCTTGCCTAATAATTTAGGCTAAATAATTGTTGGGTTGCATATATATCTTTGACATTAATTTCAAAGTTGACAAAAACAACATTTATAATTGAATTTAGATAAACATTAGAATTCAAGATAAGGTTCTTAAACAATCAAAACATTATCATAACTTTTTTTTTTTAATCTACTTTTAAACCTTTTACTTTTATATTTATTTGGCTAATGAGGACATTATGTATATAAGTTTTTTGAACTCACATTCTCCCAACATTAACTCTAATATCATATCAATTGATCCAATGATCAATCGGCAATGGAATCAAATCATAGTTAAAGACAAAAAAAGGTGGTAAATTAAGAAAGAAAAAGGAACACTAGCATACTAAAAAAGCATTTAAACTATTTTATTTTTCTTAAATAAATTCTTATATTTTTATTACATCCAAATAAGCTCTTATCTTTGAATTTATATTTAAATAAACTCTTATTTCAAACAAAAGATTAATTTATGTAAAGAGTTTGTTTAGGTACAAATTAAAATTAAAAATTTATTTAGATATAAATTAAAAATCAATGATTTATTTAAGTGCAAATTAAAGATTAAAGGTTTATTTAAATATAATAAAAATATAAAAATTTATCTTAGTAAAATGATAAAATTTGAGAGTTTTTTTTTTTTAATTGTTTTAGTTAGAGGGATCTAATAATTTATTACTTTGAATTACCAAACAACTGTTTTACACGTGTAAGCCTATAGCTTGGAAGTGTTTTATATTAATCTTAGATTGTAGTTCTTTTTTAAATAAAAATTAAAAAATTAAAAAAAAGAAAAGATATGCAAGACATAAATAATTTATATATACCTTCATATTGATTACACGTAATTTGTTTGTTTTTTTTTTTTAATTTTAAGTACTAAATCGAAAGTTTAATATAATATAATTGGGGTATCACATGTAATTAATCTTTTTGCTTTATTGGAAACTAATAATCTAATTTTCATAATCCTTTGATGATTTAAAAAACAAAATAGATATGCAAGGCAATATTAATTTATAATTCCTTGATGAGTTATGGAATTTTCTTTGATATCATTTTCCTTTAGGTTCCTTTTGGATGCTAAGGATAAGTGCTGAAGAATGAAACTTTTTTCCCCATGAAATGTGCAATTTCAAGAGCAAAGAAGTTAAGCTTTTGTCACATGCTACACCATTGGATTTTTGTTTGAAAGCATATGCCTACTCTCTAGTTTTTCATGCATGCATGAACATGATACTTAGAAATTCAGTTATTAATTTCAACCCCCAATTGCTTTTGGACAAAACCACATCAAAGCTAATAATTTGTAACTTGTTGAAGTCATAAGATTCATATTCTTAATTTATGGATAGGGAGAGACTCCTTTAATATGTAAGAGTATAATGAAATTTTGTCATGAATTTTGGATCAAGAGGGTTTGGTTCAAATGATTCACAAAGATAAGCAATTATTGAATTACATATTAAAAAAGGGCTTGTTAGGTGTCACATTATCATGCATTACTTTTTTTTCTTTTAATTTGAAAAAATGAACAATTTGATATTGCTTAAGATGGGATTATGTATCAACTGAATTAAATATTTAGATATATTTATTATATTTGTTTGTTCGTAATCAACTGTTAATATTTGATTGTTACAGAAAAAATAGCATAACCAAAGTAACATAACAAGAGATAATCTTTTATTGATCTCGTATTTTTCAATATAAGATTTGAATTGACACCTCTAAATTAAAAACTCAAATTTTAAATTGAGTTTATTGGAACAAGTATATAAGTATTAATATATATCATAACTGAAAATGAAAGTAATTAAAAGTGATAATGGATAATTTATGGCTGCAATTTATTCGAGGAATCAATTTGTTAGCATAACATTACAACTTAAATCCCATAAAAAACTAAAACTCTTGATTAATTACATCAACATCTGCCCATTAATCAATGACATGTCTTTACTTCTTGTACCATGTCGTGGCTTTGCCTATCTTCATAATTTTCTTAGCAGCAAATCTTCAATTAATAATAAACATTTATATATTATTTTTTTTACAAAAAAATTACAATTAAGAATAAAAAAAGTTATTATTGTTGAGATTTAAATTTTAAATCTATTAAATACCATATTTAAGGATTGTTACATGAGCTAACTGACCGTTAAATTGGAATTCAATTTTATCTCTTTACATTTAGAAATTAGTTACATCTCAAATTAATTTGTTATTATCATCTTAGCTAGAAAACATATGAAAACTATTGGCTAAAAAAACATTAATTTCCTTGCAGACAAAAAATGTGAAATTGATTCCCTTGATATTCAAGCAAAATATGACGACATTGATGCCACTTTCTCCTCAATTATTGCAAACTTGATACAAATTTTTGAACGCATAAGTTTTTTTAACCAAAAATGTTTAAACAATTAAGTTATGATTATATTCTCCACTAATGTTTCATTATTTTTAGTAATTATTACTTTGATGTAAGAAGATAATTAATTATGCATGGCTGTAATTAATTCCAACTTGATTCAAAAGTAGTGATCTGACATTCCAATTAATATAAATTCTGTTTAGAAATTCAACACCCACCAAGGAATTTGATCCACTAGTCAAATTGCAACAAAGTGAAGAACATTCCTAGGTTGTTCAATTTGAAACATTTGTGAGTAATTTTCATGTTTCAACATATATGGAGTTGATTCTTGCAAGCGGTGAAGTAAATTGACTTTTATG